AAGGACAAGTATTTTCTCATGCAGCACAGAGTCAGACTGCAAATCTGATGATTGTCATCGAAGATTTGCATATTGTTTCAGAGGACAATGGCAATACCCAGTTTCTGGTTTTGTCCTTCTTCGGAGAACATCATGTTAGGGTTGTTGGTGATTCACTGGTGTTGCTTGAGGTCTGTTTACTGGAATAGAAGTGTATTGGTGATTGTTCGATACGTGGAATTGTTGTGGTGGTTGTTGCAAGTGTGAAGCTTGATCCCGGCTTGTTTGATTGGATTATTGGATCATATGTCTGGTTTTTTGTGCAAGTTTTGGTTGTCTGAATCTCTGTTTTGAAAACCGGACTGGACCGGCCGGTTCAACCGGTTCAACCGGGAACCGTTGTTTAGTCCGGTTCAATCTAAATCGATTGAACTACTATTAGTGAACCGGCCAGAACCGTTGAACCGTTCTAACCGGACCGGCTGAAAATCGGAAAAAACCGGGAAAAACATGGATTTTTGTTTTTTTTTTTAAAAATTAAACAAAACAACATCGTTTGTTAAATGAGCCAAGTCGAACTCGAGTATTGCTGAGCTCGACTCGAACTTGAAAACTTTAAAAGTAAGCTCAACTCAACTCAAACTCACAAGCTAAAAATTATCAAGTTCAACTCAAACTCGAAATATAATATTGAAACTTGAACTCAAAAAGGCTTGAACTCAAAAAAAAATTAGAAGCTCGATTGAAGCCTAAAATTCGAGCTTGATTGAAGTAAAAGAATAGTTATATAATTTTGTTATGATTTTTTTAACCCCAAATTTATTTTTTAATTATAGTTATATAATTATATTTATTATTTAATATGTTTTACCTTAAATATTATGTTGTAGTTAATTTGAATCATTTTGTTTCACTTGATTTTATGGTTTTTAACTTATATATGTTATGACTTGCTTTGAATATGACTTGTGATATAAAAAATTATTTTTTATTAAATATTTTTGGTATTTTTATTTAATTTTTTAAATAATTATGACGTCATCCGGTTCTTCCGACCGGTCGGACCGGTTCGACCGGTTGAACCAGTGAACCGGTAGCATGACCGGTTCGCTAACCGGTCCGGTTCTGAAAACAATGGTCTGAATTGCATGTATTCTTTTTCTCCGTTTAGGTCTAGCGAGATTTTTAACGAAACATACAATTTAGATTGGTGTTGCTCGATATTAATCATTTGATAATGAACACTCAAATACCTTGTGGTGTCTGGCGTTCAAATCTGAGATCTTTAAAAATAACAATCATTTCTTTTAACCGCGGAAGTAACTCGATTCGTCCACAAACATGACTTTCTAATATTATGATAGTATGGATAGTGAAATAATATTATTTATATTTAATACCTTTCGTATGAAGTCTTATGATAATAATAAGGGTTACGTTTGATTTTTTTTTTAAATTTTAAAAGAAATTTAAAGGTATTTATTATTATCTTAATATTGCCTATGAAAATTAAAAAAAAACTACTTTTATAATATATCAAATGTAAATTAATGTTGATTAATAAATTAACTACGTGTAATTATAAATAAAAAGATGAATCAACTTGACTTTTCACTTTGGCCATTCAATTTTCAAAAATTGTATTTTAGTCACTAAAATTTCACTATTTCTGTCAAATCTAAAAAATTGAACTGTTCTGAACCAAATTTATCTGATCTAAAATATGAAAAATAATATTTCCAACCAGTTTCTAACATCCTTCAAATTTTCGTAAAATTCTGATTCGATCCGAATATCCGATTCCAATACCAAACTTTATCGCTTTATGACTTTTAACACAAATCATGTACCGAAAATCTGATTCTCACTAAAATCTCTATTTTAATCCAAATTGTTCCAGGCTAAAATATATCACTTTTAAAAATTACAATTTTGGTCTCTAAATTTTTCAAAGTTTATACTTTAGCCACTAAAGTTTCAAAACTTATATTTTAGTCACTAGACAAAATTTGAAGTATTACAATTCATCCCTTAGGGAAAATTCGTCCTCAAATTTTCCCTACGTAACATACCTGCATTAAACAGATGCCTTTATTTATATTTTTAGAGTGACCATACCTTTGAATCACTTGATAACCGTCCAATAAAATCAGCCCTTCTTCATAATCATTCCTTTCATAAGAAACCCGATGGTTAAAATCTTGTGATCTCATATTCTGAATTCTGATATCTGTAGAAGCTTAAAAGATGTGTTCACTATCAGTTGTCACTCCATTCCCAGTAACTTCCTCCTCATAATTTGAAGATCTGCATGTTAATGGCAAACATAAGAGCATAATTATAATTTTTCCCCATTACATCCACAAAGTTAACTGCATAATGTTATGGCTGTTCCACAGATGGTCGAGAAGACAATTTTGTGTAAGTCTCTGAGGCCCTTATGGCAGGTATGGCATCTGGTGCTGTGGAAGCACTAACAAGCATTCCATTTGAACTTATTAAACTCCGTGCACAGGTTACCTCTGCTTCTCGCATTTCGAGAGCAACACCAGAAACAGGGAATAAAACTGTTATGCCGGCAATTTCCAGATTATTACGTGGATATACTCCAGATATGAAGGCATTGAACAATGCTGTCGGTATGTTGTCCATCTTAAACAGCAAGCACCCTAATATGGTTGGTGCCATACAAGAATACCCTTGGATGATGACTGGGTCTGGAAGGCCACCATCGGTTTATGATGTCCGGAGACCGTCTGAAATAATTTCTTTGGAAGGATGGAGTGCATTGTGGAGAGGCCTTCGTTCGGGAGTTGCTTGAGACTCTGTATTTGGTGTTGGAAGGCGGCTGGGATGGATCCCCCACCCAGGTGCTTTTCTGAGTCTTTTCCTTTCCATTTGATGCATAGAGTTTCCCTATTGAATATTTTTAGTTCATTACTTGCATGCAAATTGTTTAGTCGATTATATGCTTGCAACTTCTTGTCATTGTTCTAACCTATGTTACTCAGATTCGAGTATGAGCTTTGGACACTGCCAAAAGTCGATCACAATGTACAGCGTTGCCCAAGGTATTTCTTTTATTTGGTGCCACTGTCACTTTGTCTTTGACGAGGCTTTGTTCGTCCAATTTTAGCTTTGTCGTCAACTTTCGAGATAATCAATTAGTACGCAAGGTGTTCCTGTTTTCATCTTACGACATTTTTCTTGTTTTCATTCTGTTGTATGCAAGTGTGAAGTGGGACATTATGTTACAAACTCACAATACTATATTACTCGGACTCGGACACGTGTTCGACACCGATATGGCTAGAACTTTTAATTTTCCTATGTATTTGGATTAACATGAGTGTTGGACATGGCTATTCCAAGAAAGTAAGTCTCAGAATAATGTAGTTGCAATCAGTGCTTTATTCATGGTGTTTTGATTGCCTTCATGCAGTTCATTTCAATGGAGAGGAAGCTTCTCAAGTGGAACACACCAGGGAAATGATTCGAGAAACTCGCCGGCATCCACCCTGCAGATAGGAACCTCTTGTTACGTGACATCTCGATACGGATGGCTCGTAGTCGAATCGCATCGTTCGCTGTTGTCGGAAGTTATTACTTTTCCGTTGCTTACCCTGCTCCGGGTAATTGATTCTCGAGAGCTTTGCATCGATAAAGGATTTGAGAGGGAAGGGTCAAGATCAAGTAGGAAATGGTGGTTTGCAGATGGTTTCTTGAACCTATGTTACAATATTTCATTTTCCCTAATCTCGAGATTTAACGTTACACAATACCGAATTCATTAAGTTATTTTAGTGGTAAAAATAATGTTATTATTTTATAAAGATCTTGAATTCGAACAATTACGCCTATAGAATACGTATACATTATCAATGATCGATCAAGAATTAATGATTTCGTTTGATTCGTACAATTACGTCCTAACTTTAATTAAAGAGGTAAGAAATCGAATCCGTGAAGCCGAAGTTGGTTTGCATGTGACATTGAATTAGTATAATAGAATACACGAAAATATTATATAAATTATCGAATCTAATGAAAGTGTGAAATTTAGGTTTATAATTTTATAATATGAAAAAAATAATTAAAAAGAGGGTAAATTACGTATTTAGTACATAAACTATCAGTTTTGTTCCGTTTTAATATCTTAACTTTCAATTTTTTTTAAAATCATACCTAATGTTTAGTTTTCATTTCATTTTAGTAACATACTATTAAAAATTATCATTTTTTTTTCAAAACTTAACATAAACTTTTGAACATGGTACTAAAATGAAAGAAAACTAAATTTTTTAACGACGGAATACTAAAACAAAACAAAAATTAAACTTCATGTATGACTTTAAAAAATAAAAATTTATTTAATAATTTAGGTACTAAATATGTAATTTACCCAAAACATTATTGACATCTAAATTCGTTACGTAATTAACAGGTGGCCGAAAAAAATTCAGTAATTAATAAAAGTTATTAGTATTATTCTAAATATAATTAAAATATTTAAGGATTATCCAAATATACAAATAGTTCAAACATGAATTTAATTAATCAGAGGTGGGTTTAAACGAAGAATTTTAATTTTTTTATGCGTTTCAAAATGCCAATATTTATGATTATTTTGTTTGGATAATTAACTAATTTGAAAATTAAATTATTAAAATTTTATGAATTTAAAACTACAATATGAATAGCTTCAGCTTTATAAAAATTATAAATAATTATAATAACGTGGAATATAAAAATATACATTAAGATTGAATAAAATTATATTCTATTATAAAATTATATTCATTAATTAAATAAGGTTAAGAATTTTTTTTTAAAATTAAATTGGAATTGGATAAAAAATGAATTATCAAAATCAATTTTAAAAATTTCTTTTATTATAATTATCAAACAATTAATTTTATTTTTAAAATTTTACAAACCTAGATAAAAATGGATCTTTTTCCTGAAATTTCTCATTCATACAGAGTAAATTTTGCCCAATTTGTTTTTCAGAATCTCATAATCTGCTTCCGCTTTATCATTTATTGATGAATTTTTTTTAATTAAATCTCCTTGACCACTCACCTAACAACCTTCATTTTCAACTCGGATGTGTGAATCATTTTGACTCGTCGTCAACTCAGCTCTCAGTGTGAATGCCAAGGTGTTCTTTTTTTCCCCACTTGTTCTTACTCTCAGGTACTTATAATCCCCATTTTGATTCTGGGTCTCTTTTACCCGTTTAGTATGTTTTAGATTTTTTTTTTTGGATGAATGGCGTTTGAATTATTTTCTTTATCAGATGCTTAGAGAATATTAATAATGGAGAACCCTAAAACCCCAGAAAGCTTAGAATCGAAAAACCCAGATTTGGAACTCTTAGAGGAAGGTTTTGCAGCTCCTGATTTGCTCACTTTGATCGAAAGTAGTAATGGGTTAGGCTCCATTTTTAACGTTCAGCTTCGAGAAAATGGCAATGCTGTTGCAGGAGATAGGTTAGCCATGGATGTAAAAGGGAATGGTGTCAGTGTTATTGAGACTGCAGAATATTGTTTACTGAACGATGTAGTTGATAAAATGGAAGAGGGTCAAATTGGTATGGAAGTGGATAGAGGAAGTGGGATGAAGGACGATGCGGTTATAGAATCTGTTAAGGATGAGGGGACGAAGGGAGTTGATCGTTTGACGATTAATGGAGTTGATTCGGTTAATAAGGTACAAGTTTCCGGAGACAACATATCTCTTTTTGTGGACTTTTCGGGAACTTTAAATGAAGTGAACAGAACTGGGTTAATGTTAAGTGAGTATGAGTTAAAGGAAGCCGGAAATGAGGTGGAGTTGGTAACTGTTGGACCGGAGCATAAGTTTTATGTAGGGGATATTGTTTGGGTTAGAACGAAGAGTCTGAGTTGGTGGTCGGGGAAGATTTTAGATCCTTCAGAGGCACCGGAGTATGCTTTGGTTGGTGAAGAGAAAAACTGCTTGCTCGTTGGGTACTTTGGTTTTAGCCATTTTGCTTGGTGCTGCCCATCTCAGTTGAAGCCTTTCCTTGTGAACTTTGAGCAGATGATTAGACAGAATAAAGCTAGAAGCTTTCTTGCTGCAGTTGAGAAGGCTATGGATGATTTCGGGAAGTGCCTGAAGTCGGAGATGATGTGTTCTTGTGTTCTGAAAGAAAATAAGTTATTATCTAATAGTTCCGCTTCTAAGGAAGGAGTTTCCTTGGCAGAGGGTAAATCTGGTCAATTGGCGGAGTTTTCTGCTGCACGATTTGAGACTGTGAAGTTTCTTTGTCAACTCAAGAATCTTGCACAGGTTGTTAGAAAGCCTGATATGCTTGAGTTTGTTGTCCTACAGAGCTACTTGTCAGCGTTTTACTGTTCCGTAGGACATTGCCAGTTGCCCTTGCATCAACTGTGGGAAACGACATGTGATGCGGAGAATGCTGAAAAGAACAGCATACCAAATAAATTCTTGTTGGAACAATCTGATGTAATGCAGGATGAGATGTTACAGCTCGATCAGAATGCGGTTTCGGCCAAGACCTTAAGTGGCGACCGGGTGGCTTTCTCTAGCAAACAGGCTTTGACTTCGAGGAAGAGGAAGAGGAAAATTTATGACGAGGTGAGGAATAGCAACACTCCGTTTGAAATGCCTGATCAGGGCACATGTGTTTCCGTCAAAAACCGAGATGACAACAGTGAACCAAGAAATGAATTGGGCTATGAGTTCAGAGGACGTAAGAAGAGCAAGTATTTGTCGTATCCCTATGTTAAGTTAGAAGGTAAAGTTTCAGGTGAAACAGAAGATTCTGCAGCTTTGAAAGTTACTCATGAGAGGGTTAATGAATTTATCGGGTCCTCTTCAGCTGACAAAAGAAGTGCAAAGAAGTTCCAGAAAACTTGGTATAGGAAATTCATAGGTGGAAATGATGTTACTGCTTTTCCGGAACTCAGCGGTATATCTTCTGCTGAACTGCTTTCCGAGCTACATATTCTAGCTGTCGATTGCCTGTTTTCAACTGAAAGTAAAACCTTTGGTCTGTTTGAGTGGTTCTTCTCCAGATTCAGAATTTCAGTATATCATGATGAATCCATTTACGAGATGCATTGCAAGAATATGGCCAGTGAGAAAGAGGCTACCGTTAAGAATCCTTGCTTGTCAGGGAACGATCTACTTCAAACGAAGCCTACTTCCTCGCCCCTCACTCTTCATGAGAATAAAAGGCAAAAGAAAAAGAAGCCTACAATCTCAATAACATCAAACATTAACTCTCTTTCGGGCACATTAGATGGGAATATCAACTTTTTGCCATGTAACTTATCAGTGAAAGTGTCTGAAGCAATGGCCTCGGACATACCTAATGGGAAACAAACCCATCTGGAGACTAAACATGCTACAAACATACCAGATTTAAATGGAGATGGTGCTGTAACTCCAAGCTCAATTGTTGCTGATGGAAATAATGCAAGCTCTGGCTTGGTTTTGTTAGATTTTCAAGCGGTTGGCCCACATTCTGTGAAAACAGTTATTGAACAAAGTAACAGAGAGGGACTTAATGTTGTTCTTCCTGATTCTGGTGCAACCATTCCACCTCTAACAATACCAAATTTGGTTTCATTTGCATCTGAAAGTAAGCCAGATCAGAAGAAGAAGAGAATAAGGAAGCCAAAAGCACAATCTGGCCTTCCGAGCCCTATGCCCTCTTCAAACATACCTGATCTAAACGGAACTGGCGCAGAACCCAACATGTCAATAAAAGATTTGCAGGAGGCTAACGATGTTCCTCCTGCAAAAAAACCCTCTCGGAAGAGGAGGAAGAAAGGAGAGGTTATTTTAGGCACACCAAATATGATTTTAGATTATAATGGAGGAGGGGCAAGTGGGAAAGCCCCTGCAACCACTCTTCTCTTGACATTCACCCCTGGTGCTTCCATGCCTTCAAAAGAAGTCTTGGTTGCAACATTTTCCAGGTTTGGATCCTTGAAGGAATCAGAGCTTCAGATATTAAAAGATTCTAGTACTGCCCGGATTATCTTTATGCGAAGTAACGATGCTGCCAAAGCATTGCAGAGTTTAGAGGGGAACAATCCTTTCGGTGCAACCCTTACAAAATATCACCTTCAGAATGACAATATCGTAACTACTAAACGCACGGAGGGATTCCGATTGCCTGCAAATCTTACTAGTCCAGTGTCGGTGCCTCGCCTGGGGGATGCACCTCCCAATATTGATTTTATGAGGAAGAATCTTGTGATGATGACATCAATGCTTGAGAAATCCGGCGATAATCTGCCTCTGGAGATGAAGGCAAAGCTTGAGAACGAGATTAAGGGACTACTGAAGAAGGTCAGTTCTTGTCCTGGTTCCTCTATGTAGTTAAAACTGTGGTCTCTGATGTAGTTTCCTATTGGAAGACACATTTAGGTGCCTGATTTCCATTTTAGGTCAGAATCTTTGTTTCTTTTAATAACGAGGGGTTGTTCAATAAAAAAAAACTTTGCACTTGGTGGCATTTTCACATAAATCCTTGATGTTAGCTTTGCCTGGTAATTTAGGTACTTGTCATTTGTATATCTTAAATATCATGCAAAATATCTAAAATTGTGAAGTAAAAAAATAAAAGAAAATGTACCTTCATATGTGAAATTACTAAGCATTTTGGGATCAAAATTATAAATAATTTTCTAAATTTAGATAGAAAAATAATAATAAATTCCAACATAGAAGAAATACAAAGTTGTACTACATAATAATAGTGGTCAAGTTCCAAACCTAAATCTTTGCATGCTTAAACAGTCGGTTTGTAAAGCCTACAAGACCATTTCAGTTACTAAAAACAGATTAACAAAACACAACGATGTTTGAGAATGAATCTTATTCTCAAATGATTTCAATCCCTTCTCGCTTCAGGCCCCTCGGCCGTTTCCGTTGCAGAAAACCACCCACTGTCTCGGACATTTGGTTTATCATTGCTGAGCGCACTGTACCCTCTGTGCACCACCATGCATGTCCTCATCTTCCTCGTAGGCCTCTTGAGCTTGTGCATGTTTCCTACGCTTCTCTTCCTCCATGTTAACATCGTGCAGAGTTGTTTCCTCACACTCATCGAGTTCCATGTCAGTTAGCTGGACCGAGGACCTTGGCGGTAGTACAGCCTCTAGAGCCTTGCACTGGTCTGGGGTCAAGGTATCGGGGAAATCAACGGTGAAGTGAATGTACAGTTTACCTCTCATAAATGGCCTCTGATAAATCGGCATGCCTTCATCGTTTATTGCTTTGTATTGATCTACGTTAAACGAGGAGAAAACAACAATCATATTAGGCACGGCTAGAATAGCCTTTGTAAATATAAACTTCGACTAACAGATATTACAAAGCTCTACAGCAAGCTACTTTTACGTGAAGAGGGTTCATTGTAAATCAACAAGATCAACGACCAATAACACAACTGTTAAATTAACAAAGCTGTAAGGACATTTACCAATTAAGGAAAAGACAATTCCTCACTTACCAGGCTTAACAACTTCCCCGGGTTGTGTTTTAATTAGGAGTTGTCTGCCATCTAAATGAGTCATTATGAACTGAAAGCCACAAAGGGCCTCGGTAAGTGTCAATGTATGGTCGAGAAATAAGTCATCACCCTTTCTTTTAAGTTTTGGATGATCTTTCTGTTGTAGGATAAATACGACGTCCCCAGTGACCGTATCAGGCTGCAAGAAGAAAAATCCCCAACCAACCAAGTTAGCAACAGCTAGAAAGAATCGGATTCGTTAAAAAAATGCAATCTTATTTAAGATATAAATTAGCCTTACTGCTTCGTCGGCTTCTCCTGGGAAAGTAATCTTTTGTCCATTCTGCATACCCTTTTCAACAATAACTTCCAAGACTTTCTTCTCTTGCACAACCTTATCACCTTTGCATTGTGGGCAACGATCCTTGTCGTTGATGGTCTCACCAGTACCCTTACACTCACCGCAAGGATGCTGCATTTGTTGGATCATCCCAGGACCGATCTGCCGGATGGAGACTTTCATTCCAGAACCTTGACAACCAGAACATTTCGTTGACGCACCTGATTTAGACCCTTTACTGCAAAATTTTCATGTAAAACAATTTCCATAAACATAGAACGCCGATTGAAGCAGTCCAACCACTAGCGATACCACAAACATCAACTCAATTCAAACACTAACCCCTTGCACTTGGAGCAAATTACGTTCCGTGAAAGAGGGAGCTTTTTTGACATCCCGTTGTAAAGATCTTCCAACGATACTTTGACGGGATGGATTACATCCTCTCCCCTTCTTTGTCTACGGCCTCTGCTGCTTCCACCTGCACAGGTAACACAGTTTTAGGCTTGAAGTGATTAAAATCGAACACATTCCAATAACCGAAAATGCAATCAACAAGTTCTAATTCAAAATCATACCACCAAAAGGACTGCCACCAAAGAATGACTGGAAGATGTCGAATGGGTCATGGCCGCTGCCACCGCCCATTCCTTCTTTAAGGGCGTCCTCACCATACTGATCGTAAATCTCTCGCTTCTCTGGATCACTCAGCACCTCATAAGCTTGAGCCAGCTCTTTAAACTGAATTCCAAAGCACAATGCATAATGCATACAATCAAACAAAGCTAAACTCAACACAATCGAAAACAACACATAATCCAACAAACCCTAATACCCAAAATTCTCAACCCCAATCACAATTATCCCAGATCAAAAGAGAATCAAGATAAAACAGGGAAAACCCAATTCGAAAAACCACTTAGTCAATCGAAAAAGCACAAACTTTTTCAGGATCGCCGCCCTTATCCGGATGATTCTTAATAGCAGCTTTTCTATAAGCCTTCTTTAGATCATCTTGGGAAGCGTTTTTCGATACTCCCAATATCTCATAGTATTTGGTGTTATCGCTCTTCTTTGGTGCTCTCCCAAACATCTTTCTCTTGATATTTCTATCTGATCAGATCAGATCCTAAAAATTAAGAGAAAATCAATAAATACCCATAAAAATTCAGATCATAAGAAAGAAAATCATAGATTTTCAAAATAAAATACTAACGGATCTTGAAGCCGTGAGTCGGTATAAGTACGAGGCGTGAGAGAAGCACAAAGAGCGTTGACACGAGACAAGCTAGTTAAAGTGGAAGGAGTGAATTTGAGAGGCTAGAGATGGAGTTATAAGGGAGAAAATGGACGGTTGAGATCTAAAGTTGAAATGCTTTGAGAGTTTGATGAGAACCAAAAAAATGGACGGAATATGTTCCAGGTCCTTGTACTATTCGTGTATGTTAAATGCAGTCCTCATGAGTTTGATTTAATAATTCTAGTCCCTAAAATATTCACACTTCAGAGTTTAGTAACAATTTTTTTACATTTATAAATCGTGTTTGTTAGATTCCATGATATTATACGTTCAAGTTTCAAATATGAAAGACAAACTTGTCATCTATGTAATTGCCACTAATTAAATAAAGTAAATCGTGTTTTCAATGGCATAATATCGAGATACATATATGCTAAAAGTGTGAGGTACACAAATAGTCGTCAGTACTTTTTTTTTAAGTATCTGAACTATTAAAAGTTATAAATAGTCTTCCAACTATAGAATGTTGTTTTGTTGAGTCATTCTACTATTAAAAGTTACAAAATGATCACCCGACTACAGAATATTGCTTTGTTGAGACACTTGACCTTTTCTATAGTGTCTCCGTGTCTCATTTCATACTACGGACATCATTTTTAACGATTGAGTTTCTTAAAATATTTAATCATTTTTTTCCTAAAACATCAAAAATTTTATGTTAATATAACATCGAGATGTCTCTGCTCATGTTAAGACTAACAACACTTAAGATGTCTTCACTCGTATTTATCTATGCTCATGTTAAGGATATCAACGCTTTCAACTACTAGTTTATTAAGGCACTTAGACGAAAATTTTCTACATACATAAAGACTCAAATTTAAAACATTGTTTAAGTGATATCAAGCAGCTTACTACTTAGTCAGGATCATCAGTGTCACCTCTTGCTAATGAAGCTCAGTTTTTACTGTTATCATCCTCGTTGTTTTCAGATTTCCTTCTATTACTCGATCGATTTGTGCGTGGTGGATCTTCAAAGAGGTGATGAAAAGGCAACATCAACTTTGCTCATAGTACATGAATAAAGACCCAACTTTTCTCTACGGTGTAAGAGGTGGTGGCTGAAGCAGTACATGTGAGAGAGCAAATTTAAGACGCGGAGGTGACGAGTACGCCGGAATGGGCCTAATAAAAAGAGGACCTTGTGGAGGTCAAGGAGATGATTCTTTTACATCCGACCAGACGTGAGAAGGTTTTTCTTGATAGGTTTTGCCGTATCAGTATAAGCCTTGCTTCTGGGCAAATGCTTCTCGCATTCAGATACTACATGATTTCTTGGTTATGCCTCGAAGCATAGCTTCCAATTTATGAATTTATACTTCATTTAAAAATGGATCGTAGCTTTATTTCAAGAAAGACTACAACCAGAAACGGGCCACAGCGAGAGCGGCAGAAATGTTTTACCACCTCGTCGGCCTCCAAAACCACAAGGTTTTCCTTCTGTTAGGCTCATTCCGTCGTGTCTGTCACCTCAGCCTCCACAAGGTCCATCTTTTATTAGGCACATTCTCTCATATCCGCCACCTCAACCTCCACAAGATCCCCCTTCTATTAGGCACATTTCCTAGTGGATGTCTCCTCTGTAACACCTATAACCCGTATGTGTTTCGAGTTACGAGTTAAAGATGTTACATTAACATTTCAGACATTCGTTAAATATAATTGTTTAAAATTTCGTTTCATTCTAAAACATCCCTTTATCAACTTTAAATATATTTCGTTAAGTGTGTATATTCATAAAATAATAATTTATCAATCAAAATAAATTCGATTTTACGTAATAATTAGGCAGCTCAATGCTATTTCATAACTATATAAAACTGTCTAAATACTGTTTAATTTAAAAATCATTTAAAACATAATATTTATACAATTCATTTATAAATACAATTATAACTAAAATTAGTCAAAATTAAAATAATTATAGTTTACTATTACATACCCATAAAAAATATCTGATAAAGCAAACCAAGAGATATAATGTGCATGCCACTAATAAGTCAAAGATAGGATGTCTTACTGATACTGTCGGTAGGTTTGATTTCTAAAAGATGCTCGAAAAGCTCCTCACTTCATGTCATTTTCTTTATTCGAACCTACGCATGAAAAACATTACGCGCTTCAACTAAAGTGAAATAAAACATAAAATTCCATAAAATACTTTAAGACATAAAAAGAAATGTAATTTAAAGAAAATTTATTGAAACTTTCAAACCGAGCTATTCAACTCGATTTACTTTTCAAAAACCTTAAAATCATCATCTCATGATTTTATCAAAATCATGTAAATCAACATTGATATAATAACTATTTCATATTCTTTTTCATTCTTACATAATTCAAAACCAGTTAGCTTCATGTGGAGAGCAATAAGGGGAAGAGAAGAC